ACATTTTCATCAACAGTAATATCCACATCTGGAACTTCAGGAAGGTCCTGAAAATAATCCTTTAACCCTTTACACTTTAATATCAGTATGCATTTTCTTCATACTGTTCTCCATATATTTTCTAAGGTGCTGACAAGGAGAATTTGTCTAACAATCAAAAAGTTTTTTAGTTGGTGATTATTTTCTTTATTTTTGTAACTTTAATGTCTGATTCAGGGGTGATATTAGATGCTAGACTCTCTAAGGGGTTAAAGGTTTTAGAAGGATTTTTTTTTATTTTTTTGACTTATCAGATTTTACCTTTATTTTTTATAGGATAGTCAGGGCTTTCCTTATCGAGGAACAGAAGATTGTTGTCCGTGTCCTTAAAGCACAGCAAGGGAAAAAAACATCCTCTGATTAAAGCTGAAAAATAAATGTTTTGTTGTACATACACTGTCTGTGTTTGCTTTATGCCTGCTATTTAGCAAGCAATTTTTAATGTGGTGGGGGGGAGGAAAATTTTTTTTTCCTTATAATTCATTAGTCTGCTTTTTTGCCTTCACTTTCGCTCTCACCAGTCTTTTATATCCATTAAGGAAGCTCAGGGTCGTCATTGAACTTCATCTGAGCTGAGTGGGCAACTGAATTGATTACTGCTTTGAAATTTGAAATCTGAACTCCAGTGAGGGTAGAAACTCATTTGGTTCTGAAGGATCTTTCTTCGAGCTATGCTCGTGATATATTTCCTCTACACCAGCCTGCTAAACAACACGAACTATGCAAGCTCCCTTTGGAATACTGTGAAGTACTACCCGCTAAATTGACCAGTCATAGCCCTAGTATGAACCAAGAGATGACAAACTAGAATGTTATTTTCTATTAAAGAAAGTGTAACCTTCTAGAAGAACATCAGTGGAAACAGAAAAAATCGTGAACTAATTCTCGCTACCTGGAGTCGTAGGTCGGTCGTACTCGGATACCTATTGAGAAATAACGAATGCAGCTGTACTGTTGCATGTTAAACTGAAATACTCACCTACTCTTGTCTGACATTGTACGTGAACATGACATAGTTTCTACATTTTCAATTCTCGTCAGTACTGTAACCTCCGAAACTACTCCCTTCATTTTCAGTAACCCTTAAAAAAAAATAAAGAAATGAAATAAAACGTGATGTAGCCCGGGTACCCCAAATAATACGGCGGACTTTGCTCTAAAGTAACTAACTTACAGACCCACTGAAACAACTCAAAACAACATACTATCCCTGATTTTCGAAAACTTTTTCGCGGATTTCTTAGATTAACAGATGGGAATAACTTTCTCTTTGCCGTTACTCATTGAGATTTTGACCGCCTTGGATGCAAATTTGGGAATTCCCGGCTTTGATTTGCGTCATAACATCCATGTTGCATTGATCATTTGCCGGTAGTTCTAAAGTCAACAAGTCCAACAAGAGGCTTCAGAGCTCAAATTTGTACGTATTTTTAGCATCTTTGAGAGTGGCAAAGAGAGGCTTCCCAGGAAAAGTGATGACTAACGTGAACAAAAATTCGTGGATATAGTAAGGTGAATTTACGTTTCGAAATCTGAATATCACCACTACCGTCACGGTCATTGCTTAACGTTTAAACCAAAACATCAGTATGCATTTTCTCTACACTGTTGCCTGTACATTTCCCAAGGCGATTACAAGGAGAATTTATTTCACAATCTAGAACTTCTTTAGCTGGTTCAGGAGATATATTGTAAGGAGAAATTTGATGCTAATCACTCTTCAGTGTCAGAGGGTGATTGATCAACTCTAAATTACGAATTCAAACTTACTTACAATCATTGTCTGTCAATATCTATCTCTGTGAAATTATTTTATTTGGTTACACTTAATTCAGATCCTTTTTTATTTTCATACTTCGAAACGAGAATATTGTCAGTTTACACAGCTAAGAAAACTTTTTGAGACCACCAGTTTCTCTGCATGAATAATTAATTCAACAGCAAGATAATTGTTATCTGATCGACGCTCTTCCAATATTTTGTCGATCACAAAATGAATCCTTCCGAAGCAAAAGTATTCAGTTCCGGAATTTCCGGTTTCATATCTTCAAAAAAACGCAAGGATTTTGCTTACAGTCGGCTTGATCAAACAGACAATGATTCAGTGGAATTCTCGAACGTCCATTTTCAGAAAGATCACACTCCTCTCTGTACCAAGCTCTTCTTTGGTCTCCTGGCCTTGATGCTTTTATTTGCAACTGTGGCAACGACGGTTTTTCTAATGAACTGGAAACATTTTACGGTCGATCTTCGCTTGGAAGAAGGCAATGTACGAGTTTATAAATTCGACCAGCAAGTCAAGATCAATGGCAACGAAGCTACCACGACAAGCATGTCTATTGTTGTTTCGATGCACGTCATTAACAGAACTGAAGACGATTGTTGGTTTGGAGTAGTTCTTAATTTACCAAAGGAATCAAAAACTTACTCTCACTCCAAAGACTTTACATTTCTTACCCACGTTTCAAACGCAGAACTTGTCGATTTTCAGGATGGCCCAGAAAACCATTTTAAAGTGTTCGGAAATCACCTTGACACCAACCAGGAGCTTTCGTTTTATGTTTATAATGTCTTAAACCAACTTCTTCCAATAATCAAAGTGAAGCTTTACGAATTTGTGCTCAGCAAACTGTCGAGCTCTTCCTCGAATTTTGCTGTGACAAAAAACGTATTTTTACCAGGTCGTGTTCATCTTAAACGCACCATCATGACAAAACGTGATACAGTGATTGTAACGACCCGGGCTGAACCAGGCGACTTTGAAAGCTTTTCAGCTGATGAGAAAGGAAGATCGACTTCATGGAGGCTTTCATACGACGAAACTACTGTTGTTGACAAGAGAACTGGGATGGTTGACAGAGGCGATATGTCTGTCTCTGCTTATCTCCCAATAAGCTCTGATTTTACATCGGGGCGCAAGCGTAAACCCATCCACGGATTAAAGGTGTCTTTTCGAAGCACTGTGGAATCGGTTGACGAATCTGAAGCGGAAGGGAAAAATTGGAGGGAAATTTTAGAGAACGAGAAAGATTTCAACCAGCTGCTAACTCTTCCCTCTGTTAAGGAATCGGTGTTATTGTATTTTGCACCGCCGAAGGGTAACCCCCGGAAAAAGCCCTCAGAGGTTATAAAAGAGCTGATAAAATTAAGCAGAAACTCTCACGGAAGATCAACAAAACTTCCTCCAATGATTAAGATTGAACAGTATAGTACTGTAAATGCTGATGAATCAGACGGAGCTGAAAACGATTACCAAAACGATGACGATGATGAAGAGTTTAGTGATAACAGTGTTGAAACTGATGATGATGATGATAGCGAAAATGATAACGATGACGATGAAAATGTGCCATACTGGCCTCAGCCGAATTACGCACCATATGGAATCGGTTACGAAGTCAAACGAAAGAGGTCTGTCACAGCAAGAAGATCGCAGATCATCAAAAAAGCTGCCAGGAAATCACGAACAGAAAAGAACACACCCGAATTAGATGAGATCTGGGACGAAATCACTTCCTCTGCCCCAGCTCCTATCCGAGAACCTCCACGTGTCATTCACTCATCAATCTTTGGGTTAGATTTCCTTGCAGAGATTGATTACAGCGTTAAAGCCAATGACGAAAATGACAGTGATAACGATGATGACAGTGATAATGGCAACGACGAGGATTGGTCTGTAACCACTAGTTACCAGATCGCATTGAAACAGTACCGTATATCAGCCTTCAGTAAAGTTCACACATTGAGCGCGCTAAGAAGCAAACTGCCACGAGAAGGGCAACAGAAGACTAGTCGATGGACGGTTGATGCCGGTGACTTCGTAAGTCAAAAAACTAAGAGCAATTTCAATTGACTTTTGAAAGTTATTCGGGATTGCGTGATTTTGTTCTCAACGCACGCTGTGATTGGTCCAGAGAAGTCACGCCATCCTCTCAAACAAAATGAGACTCGGTCACCCGCGCTTGCCTATAGAGAAATTTTCAATTGAGCGTTGAAAGTAATCCGGTATTGCGTTAGTTTTACTTAACTTTGCTCAGTGATTGGCCCAGAAAAGTCACTGATTTTGCTTTCACTGCACGCTGTGATAGCGCTCTAGGAAAGTCACGCCATCCTTTCAACCAGATTCAGATGCTTTACAACGCGCCAAGCGGTTTGGTTGTTTTCGCTTTGATCTCTGATTGGCTAATGATAATTCAAATCTTTACTCTGATTAGTCGTTGTGATTGCTTTGGTTTAAGTTTTTCGACACTCAATTGAAACTTGCTCTAAACCATTCAGACTTGTTTTTACTCCAAGTTTTAATAAGCTTTTGTGATATTTTCTCTTAATTTCTCTGATTAGCTTCCGGGGCTATGTTCTGTTTTAGGTTTTACGACAAAGATTTGCTAACAAAGGTTTCTTTAATGTTATGCCCATTTACTCTACCAGGTGATGTGCATTCCTCTGTTTTACCTTCAACGTCTGTGTGGAGCCATTCGACTCACCTTTGATATAACAGTTATTTACAGCCTACCTCGACTGTCTTTGTCATATCCAGTTGAACTGAGTGTCCACATTGGACAGACAGTCACCACCAACGCTACTTTGTCTGGACACGCCTCCACGTGGTTTCACAAGAGCGGATTTTACACCAGAGGTAAAATTCATTTTGGGCTTTGTAATACGGTGCGACTACGTATTTTCCTCCACCCTTGCTTCAAAGTTTAGCTTATTTCTGAGAGTACCCACTTTACTCCTCCCTCCATAGTGATCCCAGGGGTGACAGAGAATTATTTTGACGAGGTTTGAGATGTATTTCACGAGATACGTAGTATGATGCATCCGTCATTAAAAGGTCTGCATCCCAAGTACTGACTCGCGTATCTTCCGGAGCTAATCTCCAGAGGGGGGGGAGGAATACTTACTTTTCAAGTTAAATTGAATGTACCACTGGTTAGGGTTGCATTTTCACGACTGGATTTTTCATAGTAGGGGGTTCTAAAAGATCAACGGCACCTACCCAACAAAATTTCAAAATTTGATTTACTTCCCAGTATATCGTAAGTTCCCCTCACATTTACGGACCGGTCATTTGGGGATCAGAGGATTTGGTTCGTATCACAACAAAATTCAGCTGATTCCCTCATAACTCATTAAGCTCTGTAGCATTCTAATGATCTTCCCTCGCTGGCAGTCAATCTTATTTTACGTTTCTATCATCATATCTTGGCAGAGTCCAGTGCCTTTAAAATAATTCATGAATTTTCTATTTTTTTTTGTCAACAGGAACCGTTGCCATGGCAACGTTACCAGTGCGGTTGTCTTTCAAAGAGGACACCTCACCCGAATGGTGCGTCAATGGGAATCTTGAGCAAAAAATGGTTCGCATCGACACGGTGCCCCGGTCTACTTGGAATTGTTCTCTGGATTTTTTTAAGTACGCTGACACTTGCCTTGGGCTCTCAGCTAAAAACACATCTCTGCTGACCTTTGATCTTCATTACAGCTCAGCTGAAGGAACGATGTTTGACAACTGGCATTACCCAGTTACCTGTGTACATCGAAAGGGTTATTTTCCAAACTGAAATAGCACATCCGGATAAAACGTTGTAAAAATTATATAGGAGATAAATATCCATTAAGGACTAAGCGCCCTGGCCCTTTCAGCAAGCTATTTTCGCTTAGAGCCTGGGATCGACTTTTCAAATAGATGATGGGGTTTCTTTTCGTGCTTCAGGTTACCAAATAGAGCAGGCGCTCTGATAAGTGGGCGTAATCTCGAGCCTCCGCTCGCGCGAGAGCGAGCAAGGATCAAGCTGATTCACTCTTTTCCTCCTTGAAGTACGTGCGTTTCGTGACGTATGAGCTTGTCTGTAGACAACAACGATAAAACGTCCGAATCAAACGTCCTCTTTTCCATTGTCCTTCATTAAGCGCAGAAAATAAAAAGATTAGACGGAGCTTCTTTCAACGCTTTGAAAATGTTGGGAAGGAAGTGTAAGTCATACTTAGGTGTACTGGACCACACCCTTCAAACGAATGTCCGGTTCCGCTTTGATTTTAGGAATTAATTTCGGTGTCCTTTCCTGTAGTCTACGCTTGATTTGTCGACTGTCCAGTCTTGTAAATGTTGTCCTTGACTACGAGCATCAAAAGTCAATATGGAAAATGGGTAAGGAGTTGTTGACAACGCAATTATTTTTCTCTAAGAACGTTGTCTGATGAAGCGGAGAGCTAACGCCATCTAAACTCTCTATGATAGCCAATTTACATTATCAATTTATTTGGAAGCTTACCTCCATGTAATGAGATGCTTTGTTAACGCAAAAATGTGCAAAATTTTGGAAACATGTACACCTCTAGCTTTGAGAATCTAATGAGCTGATTGGCTTACGCCAGAGAAATCGCTAGAGGATACAAAGTCGTCAAAACGATGAATATGTGGTCTCTGAAAACACATAAGAAAGTGAGAGCAGGAGACTATTGAGATATTTTGTTGAAGCGTTCTATGAAAGGTTTACGAATGCAGAATTGAGGTATTTCGTTTATTGCGTTCTCCAGAATTATTACATCCATGGGTAGGATTTATTTGATCCTATTTTGAATTGATTTGCTGTCGGGAAAAAATCAAACTCACGAATCAAATAACATAGATATAAATTGAGGTATCAATTTTATTCCTGAAACCTTGCTGATAACACAGAGTGACAGATAACGGATGAAGTAAGCAATCCAAATTGTCGTTACTAATTATCGTTCGGAATATCTCTGATAGGAATATGTATTTTTCTGTATTGCATTGGTTATAGATAACCATAAAAAATAAAAATAGCAGTTGAACTTAAAATTTAGGTCACATCTCTCTATAAGAAAACGAAAATTTTTATTCATTTTCCAAAGATTAATTCGAAAGTATTCTTAGCTTACGAGAAACAAACAAGCTGAGCAGAGCGTGCCGAAACTGAAAAAGCTAAACATTTTCTCGATGATTTAGACGCAAAAATCTTACATTTTGTCTCGAGCGATTTTCTACAAGTTTTTCATGACTTTCTTGACTTTTTTACGCTACCCAAGTCTCCGCCCGCGCCCCGCCTCCATTTTTTCCCCTTTTAATATGTTGTTCTCTCTCGCTATCTTAGGAAACACTTGCCCCTCCTTTATTAAAAAGGATTTCATTTCCGCGTAATTGTTATTCTTTAGCAAATTTGTATGACGTCCTAACTGAAGTGAATTGCAAAACATCACAAAGGAAGGAATTGTCACGTTTGAAGAAAAATTGTCATGTCATGTCACGCTTGTATGATCACATTTCAACCCCAACTGAGATGTGCTCAAAGTCGCTGATTGAATCTTCCTTGGTGAACAGTTAACTGTCACTTCTTATGCTGTATAGGAAGAAACAGGATTCACTTCAAATGATAAAGTAGACCTTTCTTTAACATCTTGTCGAAAGCGTTACGTGGTCGTTTAACTGGAGGTTACGTAAACCGGCACGAAAACTGTGGGCGCACAATTTTGCAACTGAAAACCAGGTGACCTAGTTTAGCGAATTCAGTCTGGTTTTTGCGTGTTGAACTCGTTGGTTAGAACAGCCTGTGCTAAGGTTTAAGGCTCTAATCGAACTTTGTTTTGTGTAGGTTGCATCTTTTGTTTTACATATACCTAATTTATGATTTGTAATAATCTGCTAAACCTTCTGAGTAACTTTCATACGAATTTCTAGTAAATTACACTGCCGTGTACACTGTTCTTTCACCTAATTTAAATGTTCTTGTGACCAGTTATGACTAAAAGTCGTAAAACTAATTAGATTCTATATATTGTGCTGCCATTTCCTTAATTAAAAATATCATTTTGCATTAATTGTCATCTTAATTATCGCTGCTGGCAATTCTACGAAAACAATACACAGTTGTCTCAAAATGAGTTGACAAATATCTCAGAAGTATAATCGCTGATTTAAGTAACGTAAAAATGCACATGCATATGATGATCTGCATAAGATTGTCAGTTACGATTGTCAGTTACAGATACTTTCTTTGTTGTTTTTTTCGTTAGAAACAGTTGACATGTTTACACAGAGAGTAATCAGCAGAGTTGAAGACTTCTGTGAAATAGGATCTTGATTCGCGAAAACGTGCCTTGTAAGTGTTTGAAATAATGGGAGAAGAAACCACTACCGACGGAAGTTTACAGATACATCAAAGGTTCGAAAACGAAGGCGATATAGAAAGCCCGACATGCGGATTAGTCTCCTGGAGACCAAACTTTCTTCAGCGTTTTGCCAAGGCGAAATGGTTTCTGCTGTTCCAATGTTGGTTCGTCCTAGCACAAGGCATGATCGTTTCAGGGTTTCAGGGAGTTGTAATTTCCTCACTGGAGAGACGTTTCTCGTTAAAGACAAACGAAATTGGAGTTATAGTCAGTTGTTACGACATTTCTGCCGCAATCATGGCCATCTTAGTGAGTTACTACGGCCATCACCATAAACCGAAGTGGCTCGGCATTGGAGCATTCATTTTAGGAATTGGATGCTTCTTATTCGCTCTCCCACATGTTCTCGTTGGCCGATACGAGCCAGGTTCTAGTGCGACAAATCTTTGTTCTACGGATTCCCTTCCGTCAAACTTGATCTGTAGAAGCTCAGTCTGGTATCACATATTTGTCTTTGTGCTCGCGGAGTTTTTTATCGGAATCGGAGCTACCCCCGTGTATATTTTGGGGACTGCATTCATCGATGAGAATGTCCGCCGCACCACGTCGGGATTGTTTCTTGGAATTATGTACGCTGTAGCAACGTTTGGTCCTGCTGTGGGGTTTCTGCTTGGAGGAGAATTTCTCAGGATATATGTTGATATCAAGCAGGTATTATGGTAATGATGTCTTCTTTTAGAGTTTGGATCAGAATTTCTTTGTAGATAAGTGACATTTACCCCAAGGGAAGATAGCTAGCAAAACCAAATAGAGTACTCCTACAAAATTTCATAGGCAGGTGCAGCATGCTCAATGAATTCTGAACCTTATTCCTGTCAAAAGATCTGTAAATTTCCTTACATAATTCAGATTTGATTATGGAGTAATCTGGATGATCTACAAATTAAGTGAGCTCTGAGTAGTTGTAGGGTGGGTCAGTGGGCAAAACACCTCCTTCTCCCAAGAACATTTTTTTTGTCTTGTTTGCAGACAAGTAAAACTTAAATGTAGGCTAGCTGTATGCTGGCTTCAGGCTGGAACAACACAGGCAATCTGTTACCAAAATAGAGCTCTCTATAAAGAGTGTTAATGGTCATGCAAGTTTATATCTATGATCAGAACATAGGATTATGAAAAAGTTGTTAATTGAAATATTGTATCACTTACAATAAACACTTTGATCCCTAACAGTGACTAGCATCTAATTTCTCCTTACCATATCATCCTGGAATCAAACAATAAGGTCATGAGAATAAAGGAAATGATCACCTATTAAAGAGGCTCTTGACTGTTAAACAAATTCTCTTTTTCTTCACCTTAGGCGATATATAGAGAACAGTGAGGAGAATATATATACTGATGTGAGGATGTCAAGGGTTAATGCTGTTCATGTTTCTCAAATTTCAGCCAGAGGGTGTAAGTCTTACACCTGAGGATTCAAACTTTATTGGGGCATGGTGGATGGGGTACATCCTTGGTGGCTCACTGTCCATCTTGGTCAGTCTTCCTTTGCTTGCATTTCCAAGAGAGCTTCCAGGAACACCACAAATCCGGGCTGAAAAACAGAGATTTTCAGACACTGTGGAGGATGACAACATGCCACATACACTGAAGCAGCTACTTCCCTCACTTAAGTCACTTCTTACGAACAAGCCTTTTGTATTTCTTTCTCTTGCCTCAGCATTTGAGGGATTTGCTGTGGGCGGTTTTTCTACATTTTTACCCAAATTTGTTGAGGCGCAGTTTCGTATCTCAGCTGGCCTGGCAAGTACGTATACTGGCCTAGTGGTGGTACCAGGAGGGTGTGGAGGCATGCTCTTTGGAGGTTATCTTGTAAAAAGAATGAAATGGACTTGTGACAAGACTATTAGAGCTTGTTTTGTTATTGCCTGCTTAGCGACACTCTGGGCAGCAGGACTGTTCTTTGGGTGTCCCAACAGAGTATTTGTGGGTGTAACAGATCCATACATTAACAGGTATTGATAACCTGGCATTTGTCTGCTCTTAAGTGTCTTTCTCTTCTTATCATGGTGTACTCTCTTGTTTCAAACACTAAGAGATTGCTGTGCAGGTTTGAGATTAACTCCCCCTGTAGAAAGTGTGTGTGGGTCTGTCCACTAGTAGGCTATTGGGAAAAAATTGTATTTTCTCATATAAATGCCCATGCTTTAACCCTTTAACCTCTAAGAGTGACTAGCATCTAATTTCTCCATACAATATCACCACTGAATCTCACATTAATGTCACGAGAATAAAGGAAATGATCACCAACTGAAGAAACTCTTGATTGTTAGACAAATTCTCCTTGTCAGCACCTTAGTAAATGTACAGAGAACAGTACGGAGAGTATGAATATTGATGTTAGGGTGTAGAGGGTTAATAAGCTCCCTCTACCAAATAGGAGCAGATGATCGAGGCTAAACTGTATATGGTTTTGCGTGAAATGTGTTTTAAACATTTCCTTATGTATCAGTCCTAGGTCATCACTTGTCAATATTACTTCTTCCTGTAATGCAGCATGTAACTGTGACGTTAAGTACTTTTCACCTGTTTGTTCCAAACAAGATCAGCGAACATTTTACTCTCCTTGTTATGCTGGCTGTAAGGCAGATGACAGATTAGGCGACAAAGTAAGTGTTGTACAGGGATTTCTTTGATTAACCTTTAAACCTCAAAGAGTGATTAGCAATTAATTTCTCCTCCTAGAATCACCCCTAAAACAAACCTTGAGGTCATGAGAATAGAGGAAATGATCACCAACTAAAGAAGCTCTTGATTGTTAAACAAATTCTCCTTGTCAGTGCCATAGGAAATGTATAGAGAACAGTAAGGAGGAAATGTATTCTGATGTTAGGGTGTAAAGGGTTAATCAATGAAGTAGCAGGAGAATACATACCTCATACTGACTGAGTTTGAAGTCTGTGCTGTAAGCTATGGAGTCAACATAGTTTTTGTGGCTCAGACTTCATGAGGACCATTTATTCAAGCAGGATAAAAAGAGATTTTGAAACTTATGGTACAGACCACGAAAATGAGGTTATTGAGATATTTGTTTTAACTCTGGGTTCAATTAGAGGAGGTAGATTTCAGTTCAAACAAACTGTGTTATGAAATGAGGGCACACTAAATTGACCAATCATAGTGCACATACTAACTGAGAGATAACAGAAATGTACAGCAATGTCCTGAATGTATTTCAGCCAGTGAAAACTTCACAGTAACAGGATAATTTTCCAATTGCAGTTTGCTAAGAAACTCTCCCATTTTACAAGCTGTGACAAGATAGTGACAAAAACTAATTGCAATGAAATGTGAAGAATAATAATTTTTTTTTTTACATGCAGGGTTATCAGAACTGTAGCTGTTTTGTGACACAATCAAATGAGGGAATTGAAGGCAGTGGATGTCAACCAGAATGCAATAACCTTGCTCCCTTCCTTTTCTGCCTTTTTGGTCTCATGGTTTTTACATTTTCAAACAACATCCCAGCAACTACAGCAACTCTCAGGTACAATTTGTGATTTTTAAAAAAATAGATTGTAGTTAGACAGTCGAGGAAGGGAGGGGGGTTGGGGGGGTCTCCTCTTGGGGTACAGACTGAGATGTTTATTTCTAGTAAAACAATTTCTTAAGATTCTCATGGTGGAGATGCAAATGCACTTCTTGAGCTCTGTCAGTAGAAGTCATTCAATCAGTCAGTCAGTCAGTCAGTCAATCAGTCAATCAGTCAATCAATCAATTGCTCAATCATTTACTATATTTAAACATATTTGACAGTTTGCAGCCTTTCCAAACATCTATTTGTAGGCAGTTTGGAAAGACACAAAACTCTCAAGCAAAAATTTATTTTTCAAATTGCCACTTTTAATCCCACAGTATCATTAAACACTTTCATTTAACTAATTTATTTTTGTGTTTCAACTCAGTCAGTTAGTCAATAATTTGACCATTCAGAATGCACTGTGTTCTCTGTGACAGAAAATAAGAAGAATGCAAGAATTCTTCAAATTTCTCCAATTAGCATAAGTTTCAAAAATGATTTTGATTAGGTGTAAACTTTAATTTTGTTGCATTATTGAAACTAAATTATGAAATTGATAAAGATCCATTCTCTTTATGTTGTTTGTCATAAATGAGTTATGATTTTAAGATATATTTTCCTTGCCCTTAGATGTGTTTCAGAAAGCCAGGGATCATTTGCTCTGGGCATAAACCAGCTTATTGTCCGTATTTTGGCCTTTATTCCAGCCCCAATTGTGTTTGGATATGTGATTGATGCTGCATGTAAACTGCATCAAGAGGACCCTTGTGATCTTGGGGCTAAGAGGAACTGTTTGGAATATGACACTGATTTGTTCAGGTTGGTTTACACCAGAATACAGTCCAACTTACCCCACCCTAGCTCTCCCCTTCCCCCCCCCCCTTTCTTGTCAGAATGATGGGTTTTCATAATGACAGCTCAATTTTTTTCCTCAATAAAACCTTCAAAGTTTAGATTCTTCAGACATTTTCCTCAAAGTCATAGGCAAAAGGATCAATCCTTCAGATTTAATCTTTTTTAAGGGAGAATTCAGATTCCTGCAATCTTTTTTTTGGAGGGGGGCCAGAAGGGAATTGGATTGCTAAAAAATGAAACATTTAGTATGAAGAAAGCAAAGTCTCCTATGAAAGATGCATGGAAAGGGAAACCATTTTGTTCAAATTTATATAGGAGGTATGGAATCTGGGCAGAACATAAAAAAGGGCTACTTCTCTTTTCTCTCCATCTTAGTATCAATTTTTATTGAGTCAACCCTTTAACTTCCATGAGTGATCAACACAGAATTTCTCCTCACAATATCAGTACAACATCAAACAGACCAGTGATGAGAATAAAGAAAATATCAGTGAGGGATTATCATTTGATCCAGCACTAAATTCTCAGAACTGACATCATAAGAATTGTATGGAAGAGAGTAGGAAGAATTACTAATGAGATCTTGAAAGCAGAAGGGTTAAAATCATTTTCTTAAGTCACTCTTAAATTGTGTGCAGGTAACTGGCAAGATGGAAAATGCACATTGCCTCTCATTTCACAACTGAAAGAATATTCCATTTCTTGCTAGGTATCTGATGTTAGCTGTTGGTGGTGGTTTCAAGCTTTTATCTGCAGTAGCTTTCTACTTTGCATGGAAATTTTACAAACTGCCATCCCAGAGTCAGTCGAATGAGGGTTTGAATCGAGAGTCTGCTTCATCACAAATAACGATTGTGGATGGACACACCAAAAAAATGCCTGAAACAGAGTTGATTCCTGTTGCACAGTTTATTACAGTTTCAGATTCTGGGCAAGAAAAACCACTTCCTAGCAAAGATTTTGCAAGGACAACCAATGTTTAGATACAATAAACAGGCGACTCCCTTAAATCAGAATTGAAAAATATATATGCTTCCTGGTTACACAATTGTTGAGTCACCTAAAAGTATTATACTCCATACACAGTTATTGAATCACTTGAAGGGCACAAAATCTTTTGCTCTGAAAATTCAACATTTTATATTATAAAATAATTCAAATAGTACGTGCACTCTGATTGGCCATAAAACCATTTTACATGAGCATATGTAAACATGGTTTTCATTCCTCTTTCATTAGTTATTTTATAAAAGAAATGTAAAATGGTTTCCGTGTTTATATAGCCTGATGTAAACACTTGGGAGGTTGGGAGAACACTCGATAAGCTGGAAACCACTCTGCTTCGCGTCATGGTTTCTTATGCTTATCTCATGTTCTCCCAACCTCCCACATGTTTACATCAGGCTATGTAAACATGGAAGCCATTTTACATTTCTTCATTTTCATTTCAGTATAAACCGCACAGTTGAATAGTGCTTTTTTCATTTGCTGATTGGTTAATTTGGAAGTGAATAGCAAGCACTATTCACTTCTGAGCTGTCAATAAGACAAAATCATGCATCAGGAGTTTAGTTTTGACCATATAATTTTGGTATATTGAAAGAAGTAATTAAAACTAATTTTTTGGTTTCTGTGTGATATACTAAGACAGTTATTCACCTAAGTGGGGCTGAGTAATGGTGGATATTTATTGTGGGTCGGTAATGATTGTCAATTAATTAGCAGCTGCTGTGGATATAATTTTGATGATGATCTGTAATTGTACAGTTACAGCTTACAGTTGACATCAAAATGACATGGAAGGAACAAAAAGTATGACATCAGCTGGGCATCTGAACTCTGACTAATATATTATAGGCAACAGACTACATGTACCCCTGTGGGGTATGGCACTGAAACATTTTCCTACCTTTGAGGAGAATTTTTAAAACTTTCTTGACTGTACAGTTTGATCTTCAGTAAAAAATTGTACCTAACCTGATTCTTCATCCAATGTAATATGAGCATATTAATATAATAATTATGTTAGTATTAACTTTATCAATAATATTATCATCATTGTTTGAACTCATCATCTCTTATTAATAAAATTGATTCACTTAACTTCACCTCTATTCACTCTGAATTCAATTGCAAGTTTTTTCAATTGTTTTCCAAAGTAAATGTCTGTCCTTTCCTTCATTCTAAGTGTGATAGTTATTTAATACTTTTGACTTTCATCCAAATTATTTTTCAAGTCATGCCTAATTTACCTTATTTGTCAAATTGTGAAAAAGTTTCTAAGATATGTTTCTCAACTCCAGTTTAATCATGTTGACTAATGAAGATAATAAGTTTCAAATGTAAAATTCATTCTCAAAAGTAGGAAGACAATCAGTGTTCACAATAGCAAGTGAAAATTGGCTACAACTTATGCAAGATGCAAACTCAACAAACACAAGCTGGTATTCCACAGCAAGGAACCTGTCTCTCTCTAACTTGCAATGTTTCATCTTTGTCAAACATATCAAGTGCTTAACCTAGGTTGGCTTATTGAAAAAGGAACTATCAATTGTGTGATTGGCAGGATAAACACATTTAGATGATGTGACTATTAATGGTAACAATGAATTTGCTCCTTAACTACTTAAAGAAAATAGATTCCTCATTGTTGTGGGTCTTGCAGGAGATGTCTAAGAACATTAGTGATACACTTAGCTGCATCTAGGACATTACTTCTTTGTTCTCACCACATTTTGACATCATCTGTGATATATTACCAAACAGATGCATGGCATCATTGAATCTATCTATCAAATAGGTCACAAATAGCTTCAAATTGTTATTAACCCTTCCCAACTCCCAGAAGTGATTGACATGTCTCTCTTGACAACCTCTCCCCATAATATCCATACATTATCTCACCAACAGGTTATGAGAATACTCTAACGTGTTGGGCAAGGTTGTCCTCATGATCTAACACCAAATTCTCATAACTAATTTATAATGAAACATGTAGTAGCTAGAAGGGAGAATTAGCAATCAGATCTTGGGATTTAAAGGATTAATCACTGTGCCACAGGGATACCTGCATCACTCACAAAATTAGATAAGAGAAAGAACAAAAAAACAAAGCTCAACATTTAATGATGTTTCCTAACCTTTACATAACAATTACATTAAAGAAACTGTACCCACACTTTCCCAGAACTATTCTACACAGTAATAAATTAGTTTTAACCCTTGAACTCTCAGGATATGAAAACAATTACAACCACACAATGACACTACAGTTCTTTCTACAGCTATTTATTAAGAATACTTGTACATCCTTTCACAACAATTTTCTTACTTCTTATTACCTGTTTCATCTACAGGGCTTTTAAGTTGTAGAGAGAAATTCTATTCAAATTATTTCCAGGAGTAAAAGAGTGAATGGGTTGGCTTTCTCTCAGTTGGCAATAAGCCAGAAAGGAATTAAGGTACAAAGCAATCTTAGCTCCAATTATGGAATGATTGCTCATTAATGGAAGTTAGTGAAACAACTGATACTAAAAATGGCTGCTCTTGTAATAAATAATAAATTTTTTTAGACACAACTTTGGAGCCTAGGTAAGCAATGCTAGGATTGCCAATTAGACTTCACTTCAGTTAAGAAGCAAAAACAAGGACAACTGTAATATTTGTGGTACTCTGGCGCACAAATATCACGCAATACCCTTGTTTCCCATAAAACATAAACTTTAACAAACATCTCCCTTTCAAACAATATCCCATTAAATAACAATATTTTGGTTTGATTTTTTTTTATAAATTATGGGCTTAAAACTTTGATTTATCTTATGCATGTAGCTTCACCATATATCTGAACAATCTAAATTGCACACAATAAAACACACTGCTTCATTCCTGGAGTTTGTGATCTCTGTAAGATTACTCTGCAAAGTTCTCAGATAGTGAGTAATTAGGGAGTGTAAGAAAACCACAACAGCGACAGCGACAAGATTGTGGCCAAACAAAAGATCTAATGAGCAAACCAATGGCAAAACACATGTGTTCAAAAACTTTGTACATTTCTTGGCCCTCCCATACAGAACTAGAATGTGAAATTGCCAACTTTCACACCATCTTGGCAAGGAAACCTTGACAGCAATTTCATCACGTTTTCACTTTGAACTCAACACAACATTCACACGTTATACTGAAGGGAAGATGACGTACTGTCAGAAACCATGAATGCATCAAGCTGTTGGCAAAAATCTTAGAGGAAAATAAATGACTTTTTTGGCAACATTTTACCACATATCGCCATTGTGATATCTTAAACTCCTTAATAGTGAGTATAAGAGGGCCCTAACCACTATCTCTTTGTTCAGATTATACACATACCCATTCAAGTTATTAATTAGTCAACCCTTTCAAAACCCCCCAGAGTGATAAGCATCTAATTTCTTCCAACAGTATCACCCCTGGATCAAACAGAATTAAGGTTGGGAGAATAAAGGAAATGATCACAAACTCAAAAAGCTCTTGATTGTTAGACAAATTCTCCTTCAAGTGCCATGGAAAATGTGTAGAGAAAAGTAAGGAGAACTTAAATACCGATGTTGGGATGCATCAGAGATCTACTAATTCTCCAGCTATTGCCCATAACTCTTAAACAAAATTTTGATGTCATATTCGGACTTAGGGGATATTCCCCCATTACTTTATACTACTCTCCTGAAACCATACTTCCCTTAAAAAACCATCTCCATTGTACCTAATCTAAATAAAAAATTCATGTAGTGCTAATCACAAGGTCAATACAGCTCTGTCTCTTTAGCACCAATTCATCTTCATTTCAAACTTTTCTTTTATCTCCAAAATACAAAAACGACACCAAATACACATACTCTCAGAATAAATTAACTGATCGCCAATAATGTGTTTTCAAGATAAAGTTGTCACCATTTAAATAAAGGGCTTTACATAGTGATGAAAAAATTCTACAATCCAACCCCTTTGGAAATACACTAAAACACAGGTTGTCTTGGACTTTGCCCAATATGGAAAATACGTGCAAGAAAAGTTACTTTCAAGGCAAGAAAGTGACCTACTTGTCACCATTGGAAAGTCTTCTTTTTTCATTACTCGAGTGTCTTTCATTTGTGTGACAAATACTCTTTTTACTTTTGTCCTAAGCAAGGGCATGTGCCCGGGATGTAGACTACAATATCAGAAAAAAAACAATGATGAATTTTCATGAGGGACTCAGATTACCCTCTAATTTTTTTTTTCAGAAGCATCTCCCTAACCTGGAATCTTGAATCCTCAAATCTGATTGGCTAATTACATGCTTGTTACTGGTCCACCCTTTTACAATATGGACCATGATCTGTAATTATTTCCATAACATTTAAGGCAAGCAGAAAAGAAAACTAACAGAAAAAATAAACAAGTTATTTACCACTCTAGCTCTAGTGCCAATTAGAAAGGCAAAATATGCCTTGCACAGTTTGTCCATGCAATCAGCAAGCTTGGAACATTTTACCTAAGAATCATTGTTTTAAGATAGGTCTAAAACAGCAAAAGTTAGTCTATCAAACTAACTAGCAAAAATTACCATTACCATTGTGCCTTAAGTTGTAGCACTATGTGGCAAGGCAAAACCAATGAATATCCCAAAGATCATGTATCAACCCTTGTTATCAAGGAAAAGATTAATTATTTAATATATAAATGAAACAACATTACCAACTTCTTTATGTCTATCAATTGCAAGCATATGTAAAACCCAGAGGGTGACCAGTTCTTTCATTCTGTTGTGCACAAATTTGGTGAATCCATGAATATTAAAAAAAATATTCTTACTTATTTTTAATCTAAAGTGAGCACACTAAAATCTACTTGATAATTTACTAGGATCAAACAATCCTTTGCCATGGGTCATTTGTACTATCTATCATTAACTTTCCTGAAACTTCAGCCAAATGTTTAATCTTTCTTTACTTGGTGTTCTCTTGGTTCATCACTTGTGTTGATGTCCTTAGTGGCTGGTGGTTGGGTTTTGATACTTCCTATGAAAGCGAGTTGATGAAGAAACCCTGCATTACTCCATAACAATATTAATTTACAAAGTTACAGTTGTTGCTGAGCACCAGCTGCCAGCAAAGTTTGCCAGATGAAAAAGAGGCAATCTTCGGCTATATCTTTTGGCTGGCAATTCCTTAGCACAACACAGGCATCTCTGAGGTTACACACTCATAATCCTTACAATATC